ACTGCAAGGCACCTATTTACTTCTTACAAAGACCCAGAGTCTGGTCCCTTTTCCTTACAAACACATGATCCTTGAGAAGAGACTTGTCCTTGGTTATATATCTAGTAAGTGAGGTTGGGATTTGAATGCAGAGTCATCTGGCTCAGAGCTTGCTCTTTTAGCCACTATATGATGCTGTCTTGTATCTTTGTGCCCCATGTGTTCCTTTGCGTTCATACTATTGGTCCCTATGTTTATATGTTCCTCTATGTAACAAATAAACCATCTTCCCAGGTCCTGATCAAAGCTTGCCAATCTCCCCTGTGGCATTCTCTGACCAGATCAGTTTACCATGATCTCTTCAGAGCTTAACACCACCTCTTTCTGAAATAACAGAAATGGATACTTCAGAAGGAAGTATACTAGGAAGGAGAAGGGAAAGGATTCTCAGTTAACTATTTGGTAGCAGAAAGGTGACAGAGCTCAAAATATCATAATTCCCTCCACTTATGGACATCTACATATCAAATTTGATCCAAACCWGGGCTTTCTGAATTGGCCATTTTACTAGGTAGGTGATACTTAATCATTGCATTAAAATAGCTATGTCAACAAGTTTTGTGACTACGAGATGTATCTAATTGAGGAAATTCCTTCTCTTAGCTTATAAAATATAACAAAATGGTTCCTACTCCTTTTCTCACCATTTTTTATTACCTGAGAAAAGTCTGGGAGTCATTAGGGGTTGTCATGTGGGTATGTGGATGACCAAATGTTTGAGGGCATTCAAGACAAACTGAGTGTCTGACAAAAGGAATATAGCAACAACTTCTCCTTCATGAGTATGACTAAAGAAATTGGGTTTATCTACTCATCAGAAACCTCTGGTATTAAGTATCATATTTACATCATCTATAATAATTCTTTCCAAGCAGCTTTCACTAAGAAACCAGAAAAAGTTACCTATGGTGCCTGTTAGAAGGTTCTCAATGGTAATATGAGTCACAGAAAACTATTTGTTATTCATGTTGGAGAAAATTCTAGTAAGGAGAAAGGAAAGGATACTYAATCAGCTCAGGTGATGGGTGCTCACACATGTATATGTGTGTTCCAACACACATACCCATGTGCACGCACAAATATACACCCTTCTAATAGCTGCTATCAAAGCTATAAAATGTGGATATAAACAATGTTSCCTGATAGACCTTGGTCTTTACAGTGACTCACAAGGATGTTTAAAATTAGACCATTACTGCAGTTTTCAAAGTATCCCATTTTCACTTSAATATGTAATTTGTTTAAGAAAGGTCACATTTGGAAATACTCAAACCTAACTGCAATTCTGTAATGGAAATTGTTCTACATACTAAGAGAGAAAGCCCAAGAAAATGAAAAACAATGAATCATTAGATTAATTTCATCTATTTCTGAATTCAATGGCAACTATCTCATTTGTATAGTGTAATTTGATAGATAGGGATCTGCCATCATTCACTAAGGAAAAGACACATTTATTTACTGGTCGCCCATGTGAGGGAAAGCAAGTGGATGAAGATGACAGTCAAATTTCTTGGCTGAGTGGACTGCTGTCAGAGCCAATTCCTCTGAGTGTCTGTAAAACACCTTTTAGACAGCAACACAGTTCAGTGGTCAAATGCAGATTTTATCCAACCTTTACCAATTCCAATTTTGTGATTTCTTTTTAAAACAGTAAACAAAAGCAATGCATAGGAAAAGCTATGATTTTGTTCAAAATATGAAAAAATCATTTTCATTAAACTATATCCCAAAATGCCTACTTTAATTAATATTTAATATTTAATACAGATATATAAACCCATCATAGTATATGCTTACATGTACATTTGTTACATATGTAGCATATACACACATATATACACATACACACATATATACCATCATGGTATTTTCTCAATATTAAGAAGGATGTTTATTGAAAACCATTTGACACACAAACATAAAGCCAAAATCGTGGATTACTCAAATGATATTCTGACTTTTAACACTATCAAGAATGTTGGTCTTAGTCATAATTAGCTATCTAAATTGTTCTCTTTTTGTATGTTCTTCAGAAATTTGAAAAATTCAAGGAGAAAGTCCTTTTTCTATGTTTTTACATTTGTGTTCTTRTCTTCTGGGATTCTGCTAAGCTCTGATTTCCTAAGCATGTATCATACTTCACATTCTCATTATCTAGACCCAAAAATGGCACACACAAAAATTTTATTTGCTGAGAAAATTAATAAGTGATTTTCTTTTTTTTAAAAAAATAACCATTCCTTATACTAAAACAAGAATATAATTTAAAGTAAAAGAGTAAACTGCCTACTATTTGAAACACCATATTAAAAAATGGCCAAACAGCCAGGCACAGTGGTAAATGCCTATAATTCCAATGTCAGGAGGATCTCAAGTTCACCACCTGGTGTGGTGGTGCATGCCTGTAATCCCAGTGCCTGGGGAGGCTGAGGAAGAGGATCCCAAGTTCAAGGGCAGGCTCAGTAACCTAGCAAGGCTCTAAGCAACATAATAAGACCCTGCCTCAAAATTTAAAAAAAGGTCTTGGGATGTGATTCAGTGGTTAAGTGTCCCTGGGTTCTATCCCCAGGGCCAAAAAAAAAAAAAAAAAAAAAAAAAAAAAGCCATTAGTGAGTCTCCATCATATCCTGTGTCATATTTCCTTTTGGTATTCAAAAGTTAAAAAGGCACAGATAATGAAAGCAGAAGCTACAAAATTGTCTTAAGAATGGACAAATAGAGTTTCTATTTTTTTAAAATGAATAAAATATTAAGGGTCTTCACAATGCTTCATTTCTAACCTAATCTTATAAGGAGGCATTTATCTAATCTTATGACAAGGCATTCGGAGATTTGGAGTTTGGGATAAGCCACAAAAGGCTAAAGCTTCATGTCTCCCTGCCACTGTCTAGTCACCCACTCTTGAAGTGGCAGAACCCTGGTTATCCCACAACCAAAACTTCCACTGTAAGAGTTTGGAAACTTAGGTATAATCCCTTCCCAACATATAACCTATAGAGCCAAGCCCTTTTCMCTTTCTCATTTCTTAATATAAATGACTGCTTGATGTTTCTCTTTGGTTTTTAATTCTCTAGTTTTAATTTGGCTACCTCTAGATATCTGTGGCAAATACCATGGAGGTAGTACATTAAAGGACTCACACCGAACATGGAACAATCCATTTTGCACAGGTAGCCCAATCTTTAGCATTCAAGCAATTCTTTCAACAATAAAGAAAGGAAGAAATACTGAAAACAATTACTAACCTTAGAAGATCATTTAGAAGAGTTACTTAAGAAAATGAAGAAACATCTAGAACCCTGATTCTAATACAGCCCTTGTGTGTTTCCTATGRATATTTTGTTTGGATATATTCACTTGTACTTTACAATTTTAAACTATGGAAAAGTAAACACATTTCTTTTAGGAGAGCAATAACACATTCCARGATATATATTTATAGCCCTTAGAGGCACTAGCCCTGGTGTCATATACTACCTTCAATCCTTAGAAACAAGCAAGTAACTGTCAATGTGAGAACTGTAATATTGCTGTGACACATGACTGCCATATTTATTCAGGTGTGTAAGGCAGCCTCCTCTTCAAAGCAAGTATKAAATGGTAGGAATTAAGAATACCTCTGACCTTGAACAAAGAAATATRGTAGAAAAGAAATCCATGTAAAATTCCATTTATGAGTAAATATTATTTTCTCCCAGGCCGTCAAACATGTGGATGTGAAATTTTAAAAAGCTTTACTGTCAATATTTAATTATAAATAAAAATTCTAAATCCCATCTGGGATTACTCAAAGAACTACAACTAGAAACTTAAATTATTACCTTTAAAGTTATTCAATTCAGGACCTGGGAGCACTGTCCTTCCTAACTTTTTCCTTGGTAATGTCCAAATACTATACAAAACCATAGTCAGATAATGTTCAACTTCTCGTGGTGTGACTTTCATTCTTAGGGATTAATTAGTGAGGCAATTTTGTTGTTATGACTTGTATGTTTTGTTGTGATTGCCACCAAAGTATGGTGGAAAAATAAATGCATGTTGTGCTGGTTTTGCAGGTCTATTATGTCCATTCCTGTGGGGAATACCTCATGAAAATTCATCCTCAGACTGCCCCAAGGCTATGTGGTAGACATTTTACAACTCACATAATAGCCATTTCAGCCCACTTGAAGATTAGTTTCAAGGGACCAGAATACAACTCTCATTACCATCACTTTTCAAAATCAACATCTCAAAACAGAAAAGTAAAGTGGAAAAAAATATTCTTGAATAATTTTCCAATCATCCCTCTCCCCAAAACAGTTAAAAGTCTGTCATAGGGATGATTAAATTAAAACAACCTAGATGGAAACAGATGGTGCTTTGTCACTTTTCCTATCTGATTTAAAGGCTCCACTGGGGAAGGGCCTGTCATTTAAGAGTCTTCTTACTCTATAATATAAACAACAGGATGGATGTTCCTTCTTTCTCCATTCCTCCCTTCCTTATTTCCTTTTTATATTCTCTCTCTCCTTCCATTYCTTTGTATCTATCTACTTTTCTGACAAGTAAAGTCTTAACATTCCCCAATGATGATTCTAAGTGCAGTCAATTTATAGCATGAACCAGCAGGTAAATATACAGTCTGTCTAGTGGGGTGGAATTAAGCATTCAGCCACAGACAGAAAGCCAATACTATACCAAATGGGACCACATGGTATTGGTGACCATTGACATCTGCATGCAAATCCTTAACTACTATTACTCATGAATMTCTCCAGATACAGTTTGTAATCTTGTCTCTCAGTGGCTGTCTCTAGTTTGTTTCTGCATTAAGCATGATAAATGCATTTTAGAACTTGACAGTAAAAGATTAATATGCTCATAACCATCAAAGAGAACCTTTCACTGATTTCAAATAGCTGTTCTCTCTGCAACTGCCACCCCCCTCCCACACACACCATCCAATTAATACTTACTCACGAAGGCTTCCTCATCCACCGGCAAACGCATTGACATGCAGAAGTATGTATCAGACTATTAAAGAAAGAAAGATACAAAATTCAAATTAAACTCTGCTAATAAGAAAGAAATAATAACTGCTAAATGCATGACCTCTATGACTGGAAAAGTCGTACTGGTCCTGGCAGGTGAGGCTGCCTTCTTGGAGATGGCAGATTATTAGAAGGGCTAAATTTAGAATGTAGATACCTTAAACGTTTTTCTAAGATTCTTTCCTAAACAATTTTAGAGCCTATTTATAAAGCTAAGTATCATGAGTATTGTCMCAGTTAAAAGGCAACATATTAGATTCCTATATATGATATGTGGAACGGTTTAATGTATTTTATTTGAAAATGGTGAGAGTTAGTTTTGAACATSTTTGCTATTTGSAAAATTAAATTTCTTTAATTTCCTGAATCACTTTACAAGTGTCCCAAATACTAGGAAATACAATGAATAAAAGTTGGTCTTAAATATAATATTGCATTTAGTTGTTCTCCTTTAATTTAAAAGTTGTATGGAGCATATTGGAGAAATCAACATTAAATTCAAATTTTTCCTTCTTTTCCAGTTATTKGCCTTCCATCCAACTGGTACTTTTTCCACAATCAAATATATTAACATCAAGAATTTTCAGTAAGCAGGGTGTGGTGGTGCACACCAACTACTGGAGAGGCTGAGGGTGTAGAAGGTATGAGCCCAGGAATTCAAGGTCAGCCTGAACAACAYAGTGAGACACTATCTCTAAAAACAGAAAGGAAGGAAAAAAAAAAAAACTTAGTGATAATTTCAATTCAAGGACAATGAATTTTTGAGGATCTATCACTCCAGTTCCTTAAAGGAAGTTCAAACACTGCAAAGTATGTGCTATGATTGAYCATATACCCAATGCAAAGATAGGCTGCATTCATTTAAAAATTCATCATAGATTATTATTACATATAGAGCTGTAATTAACAGCCTCCACCAACATGGATAGAGATCATGATATAAAGCTTCTAAAATTTCAGCAACTAAAAATTGTAAATTTAACCTCATTTTTAGTTTTGTGTTGGGAAGCAAACAGGTTCAAATAATGTCCAATATCTTGATATTTGATACAATATCAGTGTTACAATTCAGATACAATTCAGTRTTGCAATTTTTGCACATGTTATGCACTGTGTTATTTTTCTCAATTGGGGAAAGAGTTAATTTCTAAAAGTCTTTACAATTATTTAGAATGAATCTTATTTTCTCAATGAGGAAATATTCTGAAAAGCATTGAAGGTTGCACAATAAGAGGTTAAGTCACATATAGGCTGTAGAAATAAAATGTATTGGGGATCTTMTAATCTTGAATGCAATTACTGATAAATATATTTCCAGTCTATTAATAGTGTTCCAAAATATGCCTACTCTGCTATAAAATAAAAATAATAAGCTAAAGATTCTTTTGTATCCTATCATCATGAGCAATGAGTAATTTAAAACCAAAAGACATTTCGTGGTTCCTTTAGCTGCTGCTGCTACTATTGCTATTTCTAGCCAATATGCTTATTATATGTAAGATGTGATTTTTCAATGTTTTCCTTGCATGCCATTTGATAACTAAATTAATCAAATTTGGTAGATACTATAAAATTCATTTTTAAGATAATAAAATAACAAAACATTTATTGAGAAGTCAMGAGGTACAGGCACTATTTAAGCACTTTACATGTACTAACTCTAATCCTCAAAACACATATCTACTACATGGATACTGTTTTACCCATTCTACGGACAAGGAAACTGTGGCAAATCAAGGTTACATACAAAGAATCTTTACAAAGATTCTAATAATCGACTGTCTCCTTGGAAGTATCTTTTCAGAGCTAATTCTGTTTTGCTGAGCCTTGTTCTCCACTAAGTAGCAATATTGGCTTTAAGAGCTTCAGACTCTCAGTTCAAATCATTTTGTCTGTTTCTCTCCCCATACACATTAATTAAGAGACTTGAGCAAACACTGGCAAATTTTCTAACAGCTCAAGTCTGCATCACTTGGATGACTGAGAAAGTTGAATGCTGCCAGAAAAAAATTTGTTTGTTTTAGGGCTGGGGTTGTGGCTCAGTGGTAGAACACTTGCCTAGCACATGTGAAGCACTGGGTTCAATGCTCAGCACCACATATAAATAAATAATATA